TTGGCGCTTCCATTTGATAAAGTTATGTGATATGTTACCATTTCAACATCTAAATGTCCAGGGGGTCTAAACATATCTGCCATGATTGGTCAGTTCGAATAATACCGGATTACGAAGGCTAATTCGAATAATATTGAGTACAAATCCTTAGTTCGAATAATATTGAGTACGAATATTTTTCCCCTTCCCGAAAATGGCTTTTGGACGATATATTTCACTAAAGTGGCAGAAATACTTCACACTGCAGGTGTGAAAAACAAATAATTGCATACTCCTCCGATGCCACCACGTTGATAGGGTCCTACTATATGCAATTATATGACAATTCGTCAGAACGTTAACTTTATCCATTCAAACAGACGCTTACAATGTTACATAACACTAAATAAGAACATATATATCTGTATATGCTCGTTTTCTAAAACAGTTTGAAATAGAAAAAGTATGCAAGTCTATATTTAAAAGTAAATAAGGTTTATTAAACAGATTTAATATTAATTTTGGGTGTTGGACATATTTTTATACAGAGTTTGTCGTAATTCATTCATTCTTGCACGCGCATTTGCGTCGATACGAAGTTTGAAGCGTAGGTTTACACAATGCTTTTATGAATGAAATAGAAATTTTCATATTTTTTGCTTTCATGTTTAGAAAATGTTTATTTGAACTGAAAGTGCATAGTTTTGAACTTTCAAAGCTTATTGACCACTATGCAAAACAGTATATTAATAAAACGTGATCTTAATGTGGAACAATCCTGCAAAATGAGGATCTACTTTTATCGAGGTTTCATCCAAAGGTGGATGTTGTTCAGCAAAACACGTTAGGTGTACTAAATCTGAAATACAGCTATAACTCTGTATACATTGCAAGCAATGTATACAAAAATCAATGACCCCTGGGGCAGGGTCAATTTTTACCTTATGGCTTTTGTTTAAACAAACTTGGTAGACATTCACTAGAAGATGTTTCATGCCAAATATCTAAGCTCTAGGGTCTTTGGATTTTTTAGTTTTACTATATACAAAACCAATGACCCCCCTGGGACAGGGCCAATTTTGAACCTCTAGAGGGATTATATTTGAACAAACTTGGTAGACATCTACTAGAAGATGTTTCATGCCAAATATCCTAGCTTTAGCTCTTTCGTTTTTTTCCTTCGTTGCCATGGCAATCAGAATTTAGCATTGAATGAATGGAATTCTTTGAACAAAGTGGCTTCATGCAAGGAACATTCCTGCTTAGTTTAAATAATATTGGCCTATTGGTGTATGAGGAGTTGTTGTTTTAAGAGTTTAACACCATTTTTGAAGTACGCACAGCGGCACTGATGCACGATAAACGCAGTGATCACAGAAACTCACCCTTGAGCACGTTGTGCTCAGCTGAGCTAAAAAAACAACAATAAATAGGTCAGTGATTTTATTTTAATGTAATCAATTCTTATTTTCCTGGTAAATATATCTATTTTGGTTGTAAATAAATAAATAATCTTTTTATACCTTTGTTTTACATTTTATATATATGAAATAGACAAGGTGGGTAAACAACAATAATAAAGTAAGTATTGGCTAATTTTACATAAATCTCTAAAAAGAAATTTATAGAAAATAGTAAACAAGAGGGGCTAGATGGCCCTAAATAACTCACCTGACCAATCGATCTCATCCGAGCAATAACCTAGACAAGCATCTTGACCAAGTTTGATGACAATTGAGTCAAAAATGTGACCACTAGAGTGTTTACAAGTTTTTTTTTCCATATTTGGGCAGTGTGACCTAGTGTTTGACCCCAGATGACCCCATATTAAAATTTGAACTGGAAATCATCAAAAACAAACTTTTCAGACCAATTTCCAGGATATTTGGATCAAAACAGTAGACACTAGAGTGTCAACATGATTTTTCTACTTTTAGCTCATGGGACCTTATTTTTCATCTGAAATGACTACATCTGAAATGCCCAATGTTCAAACATATCGACAAGCAGTCTGACAAATTTTGATGATGATTGAGGCAAAAATGTGACCACTAGAATGTTAATGAATACATGTGGACGGACGAGAGACTACGGACATTTTTAACGATCCTTAAAGCTCACCCTGAGCTAGCTCAGGTGAGCTAAAAAGCCAAAGTATGTCACTAGGTCAAAATTAAGGTCAGCTGATATCAAAGTTCAATTTTACATTTAAAACTTTGCACATGATTCAAAGTTCATAGCTAAGAAAGTAGGCCACTTGGTCAAAATCTTAGGTCAGCTGATATCAAAGTTCATCATTTTAACATCTAAAACTGTACATGTGGTCCAAAGCCCAAAGCTGTGACTCCATAATTCAGCAAAAAGTCATTCATCTACCTTAAGGTCAATGCCTTTAGGTACATTCAATTAAATTAATAACTCATCAATGGCATTGACCTTGAAGGTCAAATTATTGTATTTCACAGGGTTTACTTTTTTGCCATATTGACTATTACTTTTAAAGTATAAAGAATTGATTGTATTCATATGAATTGATTGTATTCATACTTCGCACAACCATCCTTTGGAGAAGACATTAAAACATTAAAAAGAATACTAAATTGACCTTGATTTTAATTTGATTTTGCCCTTGACACTGCAATTACTCAGTTTTACCTAGACAAGCATCCTGACCAAGTCTGATGACAATTGAGTCAAAAATGTGACCACTAGATTGCTGACAAGGTTTTTCCATATATGGGCGGTGTGACCTAGTTTTTGACCCCAGGTGACCCATAATTGAACCTGGCTTAAAAATCATCAAAACAAACTTTCAGACCAATTTCTAGGATATTTGGATCAAAACAGTAGCCACTGTTAACAAGATTTTTCTATTTTTAGCTCCTGTGACCTAATTTTTCATCAGGTATGACCCATATTCAAACTCATCCGAGCAATTACTTAGAAAATCATCCTGACTAAGTTTGACTATGACTGAGTCAAAAATGTGACCACTAGAGTGTTAACAAGGTTTTTCCATATTTGGGTGGTGTAACCTTTTTTTGACCCTAGTTGACCCATATTCCAACTTGACCTAGAAATCATCAAAAACAAACTTTCAGACCAATTTCCATGATATTTGAATCATTTGATGACCCGTGTTCGAACTCATCCAAGCAATTACCTAGACAAGCATCCTGACCAAGTTTGATGACAATTGAGTAAAAAATGTGTCAACTAGTGTTACCATGGTTTTTCCATATTTGGGTGGTGTGACCTAGTGACCGCTAGAGTGTTAACGAACAAATGTAGAAGCTAAAAAGTCAGTTTACTTTCACTTAAAAAACTAGAAATGTGTCATCATGCCACGGATGCCCCCGCATGCAGCCAAAATTTCAGATGGTGCATTAATTATTTTTTTCATTTTAAGTTCAAAGCCCTTAAAACTTTTCAATGTTAACACAAACCATTTTCATACAATGTTCAAGACACTGAAATTATTCAGTCTTAACCTTTTAAAAATAGCATATTGCATATTTGTAGCCAAAATAATGGCTAAAAGTATGAGTGCTGAAACTGAAAGTTCAAAATTTTTCCAACATTCAGGAAAGATAAGTTTGTCTTAAATCATTGAACCAAAACCAAATTCAAACTTAAACTGCTTATTCCTAAGATGTATCTATATTATTTTCAAAGTGAAAGGGACATAACTCTGCAAAAAAATCATCAAACCATGACCAAATTCCAACTTGACCTGCCCATTCCTTTGACATATCCATATGTCAAATTTAAGTTGAATATGCAACACTGTTGGGTAGATAATGAACAGAAACTGTAAATTTCATATTATTTTTAAAGTGAAAGGGGCATAACTCTGCCAAAAATCATTGAACCATGACAAAATTCGAACTTGGCCTGGGCATTCCAAAAACATATCCATATGTCAAATTTGAGTTGAATGTGTTGTACTGTTGGGGAGATAATAAACGGAAACTGGAAATTTCATATTACTTTCAAAGTGAAAGGGGCATAACTGTGCCAAAAATCATTAAACCATGACCAAATTTGAACTTGACCTGCGCATTCTTTTGACGCATCCATATGTCAAGTTTGAGTTGAAGGTGTTGTACTGTTGGGGAGATAATGAACGGAAACCGAAAATTTCATATTATTTTCAAAGTAAAAGGGGCATGACCACATTCAAACTTGACCTGTATTTTCTCAGGACATATCCATATGTCAAGTTTGAGTTGAATGTGTTGTACCGTTAGGGAGATAATGAACGGAAACTGAAATTTCATATTATTTTCAAAGTAAAAGGGGCATAACTCTGTCAAAAATCATCGAACCATGACCAAATTCGAACTTGACCTGTATTTTGTCATGACATATCCATATCTTAAATATGAGTTGAATGTGTGCAACCGTTCTTAAGATAATGAACGGAAACTGATGATGACGGAATGACAGAAGGACGGAAGGACGGAATGACGGAACAGGGTAACACTATATGCCCCGGCCATTACACGGCGGGGGCATAACAAATCTTTAAGAGTATGTGCAGCCACAATTATGCCAAAACTTTATAATCTTCACGTATCTTACTATATATATGTATGTAGTGTACATCTACATATAGCTTTATACAGCAACACTGCATGAACTTAACTAATTTACAAAATTTAAGATAGATTTTTTGTCCAAGTATAAAGACAATCATTTCATGTATTACAAAGTAATAGTCAATCATAATGGGGGTTGAGGTGGAATCGAGTGAAAATACAATATTTTGACCATCAAAATCAAGGTAATTTCTGACTTAAGAGTTATGTTGAAATATGAGTACAATCCATACATAAATTATTAACATTATAGCAAGCTATAGTAACAATCATCAAAGTTAAGATTTGTGCGGCTATAGTTATACAGTAGAATTTTTTATGTTTAAAAAGGGACATAATTTTGTCAAAATCCACATAAGAGCTATAATTGGTCTTAAACAGTGACCTACTATGCTCTCAAATAAATGTGTGAAGTCCATTGATTCCCTTCTGTAATTTTTGAGATACCAACTTGCATGCAAAATCTTAAAAGAAGCCGAGGCCTGGGTTAGCACAATATAGCTCTCCTTGTTCTTTGAATAGTCAAGCTAAAAAAAAAGGTCTGATAATATTGGTTAAGCCATCTACCATATTTCAAATCTGTGAAAATGCTTTATCTAATACATCAAAGAAAGATGAAATACCTTGTTTTTTCAATCTAAATTTTTCAACAATTTCATTCATTTCTGCCCGTGACATAGGTTTGGTACACTTTTCTTTATATATCTCAAACATTTCACCAGCATGTTCTTTAAAATTTGACTTTATGTGTCCCTCTTCAAATTTAGGATAGAGGTCATTAGTTTTATCAAATAATTTTCAAAATTCAAGGCAAACCAGATACTTAAAGATAGTTGATAAATTTAAGACGCGTTTGGGCCCGATCACTTTGAAGATATCCAAATAATCTGTCATTATCAGACTATCCAATTTACAGTTGTACATAGTTATTCTTATAACTTTAGAAGTTGCAATAAAAGACGGTATAAAGGAACTGAACAACTTTTGATTATTGCTCACTTCTGCAAATGCATTAACTATTGTTTGCGCCAATATCTGTGACAATGCATGATCACTTATTGCATTCATTTTCTCTCCTTTTTCAACACTGCTGTCATAATCTTCACCTGACTCTGAACTCTCATCATCTTCAATACTTTCAGTTCTCATTTTCTTTTGCAATTGTTTAGAACTTCCATCCTCTTCATTGGAATCATTCTCTTCAGATACTACCTTGACTACACTTCTTTTCACAAGTATATCTGCATGTCCATGCCACACATCTCAATGACCTGGTATACATATAGATAGGTAAATTTATTTTGGTAAATCAACGCTGAAGGTCCATTGCATAAAAACTTTGAGATTGTATGAAGTTCAATTTACTAACAAAACTCACACGGCAATCCCTGTAGATTGTGAAGTTATTCACAGCAAAAGTGGGTGAATTTAGCAATATTTGATAAAACTTGTTAAAACTTTACAATAAAGGGACATAATGATCATATTTAAGGTATATTCCTACATGTATGATATCTACTGTTCAATCGGTGAAAATAATTTTTAACGCTTCCAATTATAATTTTTAATTAAAGCTAATTTTTTAATTAAAGATACATGCATATCAAAACAGTTACATTTATTGTTTTCAGACTGGGATATGTCAGGTATATAGCTCCTTGATTGAATATGCAAAGCGAAAATAAAGAAGGGTGAGGTTGACATGATGAGTATATGGAGTCCACATAGAATCTATATACCCACAATTAAAACAATAAATATAACAGCAATCCGTACGTGGGGCAACAAATTAATTTGTTTTATTCAAATTTAAAGTTAATCAAAAATAATTTTCAAAAGGCAGTCTGAAGGACAGCTAAATCCCCTTTCGCAGCTGATATGAATGAGTATTTCTTGACCTTTAACCAACCATGACCTTGATGTTGTGACATGCATATCATAAGCACATAGTTTCATGATGGTGATAATTTGTTAAGTGCCAAGTTATTCAAAATCTTCCAAAAAGGGCCGCCAAAAGGTCATAAAGTTATGGAGAACATGCAACCTTGACCATAGGGGTAGCAACCTAGATGTAACTTTGGGGTAGCAACCTGGATGTATGTTGTGTTCTGCAGATTGTGTCATGGTGGGGATCATTTTTGCCAAATACATTTAAAACCTTTGAATTATCAATAAGTTATAGAGCCGACATGAAAAATAGATGTTTTAAAATTGGACCTTTAAGTTTGACCCTGATCTTGAGGGTAATGACTTCACTGTTGTGCTCTGCACATGGTGTCATAATGTGATCATATGTGGCAAGTTATCTTAAAATATTGCAGCAGTTTAAATGTTATGCGTCATTTTTTTACAATTTGAATAATTATTGTGGAAAAACGAAGTGCACGAATGATCTGAAATTTTGCACAAAGATTAGTGGTCTAAACCTTCATCAAATGGTACGTTTATCTAAAATTGATTTTTTTTCCCTATATACCATTACTACGAATTCGTAGTAAAGGTATATAGGAAAAAAAAATTCAATTTTTTTTTTCTTACACACAACCCAAAATAGTAATTTTGATGGTTTTTTTTCAATTTTTTTTTTTTCAATTTTTTTTTTTAAAACTTCATTTTTTATATATGGGCACCAAGACTGGACGAGCACCTGTGATACTATTAAGCTGGAAAGAGGCAAGCGGCCACCCTTCGTGAATTTCAAAGTGAACTATGGCTTCCGAGAAGCTACTTCCAGGCACTGAGGCATCGCAACATAAGATCTTTAGCGGACATGTTGTTGTAAGAAAATTGCAATTTTTCAAATATTGACGAAGCCTTTCCTTTGTCGCCACTTTTGCATCCTTTGTCGCCATCGCAGAGTGCTAGGTACAAGGACACTAAATCAGTGTGCGTGATTTCGAGTTATTTAGGCCCCAAGACGTATCGGCCCAAAATTAACCAAGACGTTTCGGCCCTTTACCAAATCGGCCCCATATTTAGTTAAGAATAAGTCTTACCTTAACGTGTTTTATACCAGAATTTTAATAGCATATAAAAATGAAAGAATAAAAGAAATAAGATAATTAATTGAATAATTAAATTATGATTTTTAACTGAATTAGGCTCAAATAGTAGTAACAAAAAACAAACGGAACAGAACATAAATTTTATTGAACAAAACATAGTACTGTGAGGAACACTGAAACATATTTATCTGCTTATTATTGTTATGATATCAAGATCAGATAACTCTTTACAAAAAAATATTTTTTATATATTCTGGAATGTAAAGGTTAGATATTTTCATTCATTCATCCTATAAGTTGTATAAGTTAAGGAGATAACTTCCCTTTACTTGATATTCATTAATGCTATGTTATATATATATGATCATGCCTCTCTGATACCTGAGTCATTCTAACTTGAGCTCTGATCTTAACAACATGTATTAAATGGTTATAATAAAATAGTAGAATAGTTTGAATCTTGTTATCATCCATACGACAATTTTTTTTTTCAAATTTGAACGATTAAAAATCAAGACACAGAACAATACAAACATTTAAATTATCAACAACTATTAAATTCATAGTAAGTGACGAGTTTTAGCAATACGTACAATACAACACATAACATTCAAAAAATTATAAGATAAATCAAACAATACTTTGTAAACAGACGTTTATATATAAAAAACAAACATGTTTTACAATAAAAGTGATAGATTTTCAATCAGAGCATATATTATCAAGAAATTATATCAAATCATAAGTTATAAAAAATCTTTGATTTTACTAATGGCTAATTAGCAATATGCTTTAAATAATTAATTTGTTAAACCAGTATTAGGTGTATTGTATTTCTTGCATGTCACGCCTTGAATAAAAGCATATATCTAAATAGCGATTGATAATATAGTCTCTAAAATGGATTATCAATTAAGGATTAAAATGTCATAATTGTTTGTGTGCCATCAATCAATCAATATACTACAATGTTAACGAATCATCTATGTACATCTACATCATACTGCTTAACAATCAATTCTGATTATGACTAGCAGGCGCGTTGTCAGGGAACTGTTAATAAAAGAAATTATTTATATGCAAATTAAAAAGTTAAAAGAATAAAAGTTCTACAAGACTATTAATTTAAAAGACATAGTGTGCAATTTAGAATTTATATAATGGGTCAAGCCTCTCAGTAAAGATGTTTAAACTGTAGACTGAACAGTTAGAGGAAGGCTATTCCAAAGACTTAGCTCCTAGGAAAGAAAGAATTTTGATGATATTGTGTCGTCAAGTAGGGTATCAGGTAGTTCAGATTTCTTGTTCGAGTAAGGTGTTGGTGGTCAACAAAAACAATGTTGTTTTGGATTTTATACATGCACTGATGTTTCGACGCTGTTTAAGGGTTTGCCAGTTAAGATCATTTATCATTTTTGAGACACTACTTGTATAAATAGTCATTAAAATATATCTAGCAGCTGATCTTTGTACTTGCTCTATCTTATAGATTAAGTATTTCTGCCAAGGATGCCAAACTATGGAGCAATATTCAACCTGAGGAATAACATAGGTCTTATAATTATGCAGTTTCTTTTTTCTTTTTATTTGGGGTTTTAATATTTCTTCTAATGAATCTGAGGGAGTTATTTGCTTTGGATGCTTTGGATGTTATATTGTTTATATGTTTGGTCCATGAAAGGTCTTGACTGATAGTTGACTGATAGTGACTCCTAAGTATTTTGCTTCTTGAGTTGAGCTTAGTTGTATGTTATGGAGGGTATAAGGAAATATTACAGGGTTTCTTTTTCTTGTTATCCTGAGACTTCACATTTACCAGGGTTGAACTCCATGGACCAGTCTTTTTCCCATGTTTCTAAAGCATGAATTAAGGTCATCTTGGAGGGTTTGGGCATCTTGTTTAGATCTGATGGTTAGGTAGCCAACAGTATCATCTGCAAAGAGTCGAACCTTAACACTATCCAGGAGGTCGTTTATGTAAGAAAGGAAAAGACAGGTACCTAATACTGAGCCTTTGGGGACACCTGAGAGGACTGGTAGAATTCCTGATTTTTGACCTTCTACTACAACTTGCTGGGAGCGTGACTTAAGGAAGGAATGGACCCAATTTGTAACCTCACAACTTATACCCACTCACAAGTTGGTCCACCTTATCAAATGCCTTACTGAAATCCATGATTATGACACCAGTTTGTTGGCCACTTTCAAGATTGTCATGAAATTCCTGGGAGAAGCTAATTACCAGCTGGGACTCACAACTCCGTTTTGACCTGAAGCCATGTTGATTTTAATTCCTTTTATACTTAAATAAAACTGTAATAAAAAAGGGCCGAAACATTTCGCGGAAAAGGGCCGAAATGTCTAGGGGCCGATTTTTGCACAGGGGCCGATTTGGTTTGTGATAAGGTACATATATTTGAAGTATGAAGTTGATCCCTCAAAAAATAAAGAATAGTATTTTTTAAGGAAAGGAAAATTCAAGGGGAGATAAATCTGAAAATATTGGTGCTAGAGTTATGAACCTTCTCACATAAGAACTGGTTGATGATAAGGAACCTATATTTGAAGTTTGAAGTTGATACCTTAAGAAATGACAAAGTTACAGTGAAAAGTATTTTACCACAGACGCTTGGGGTTTGGAGCTCAAAACGCCTTTAAAATCCAAATAAAATGCATATTTGTCAATCCCAGGACATGTACTGATCATATATATCAAAAAATCTTAATATATGCCGTTTTGAAAAAAAATCATATTTCAACAACTATAATAATACATTATTATAGTTGTTGAAATATGATTTTTTTTCAAAACGGCATATATTAAGATTTTTTGATATATATGATCAGTACATGTCCTGGGATTGACAAATATGCATTTTATTTGGATTTTAAAGGCGTTTTGAGCTCCAAACCCCAAGCGTCTGTGTATTTTACTGCACCAACGCTTTAATCTAAAATCTGGACGCGGACGCCGGGGCGAGTAAGACAGCTCTCCATATACTTCGTATAGTCGAGCTAAAAAGGGCTGCAACAATGAACTGTGCATTACGTCTTGTACTTAGCCACGTATATGTCCCGTGTAGAAATCTTAAATGTCAGCAGTAGTAGATTGTTTATTCCCTTGTGGACAGCCACATATGGCCCCATTGAATTTAGTAATAGGCTGTATTTTGTCTCTTGCAGGTAGCTACGTATGACCTCGTGAAAATACTTTAATTGTTAAAGGCCGAGCTTGTTTATTTTGTCGTACAGGGGGTACATATGCCCCTTTGGAAATTACCAGATGTTAAACCCTTTAGCAAGAGTATTGCGGGGCTTACGTTGCCACGTATGGACCCCTGAAAGATTCTAAATTGCTGCAGCAATATTCCGTGCATTGCTTCTTATACTTAGCCAAGTATGGCCCCATGTAAATACAGAAATGACTTCAGTAATGTGTTGTATGTTGTCTCTTGCAGGTAGCCATGTATGACCTTGAGCTTCTTTGTCTGTACATTTGCTTCTGTGGAAAATACCAGATGTTTAACACCTCAGCAAGAGTATATAGCGGGCCGTACCTTGCCACGGATTCAGAGTCAACTCGTCCCCTGGTCAACTCGTCCTCTGGTCAACTCGTCACCTTTTTGGTCAACTCGTCCCTTGGACAACTCGTTCCCTGGTCAACTCGTCCCCAACTCGTCCCCTATATTTTATTATTATTTGTTTTTCATATATTTCATAAATTATTATAGACTGTTAAAATAATACGTTATAAAATTACTAAATTGGACATATTTTGACGCTTTTTGTATGCGAATATTTGGAGTTTTTATTTGTTGTTAATTAAATATATCATGACACGTGCCTTTGGTTATTAAAGTAAACACATAGTAATTTGAAAATAGGATTAAAGACACATTTGCCTCTGTGGTTTGATACGTATTTATATATTTAAAGAACGTGTGTCTTTAATTTGAAATTATACAAATCGCTTGAAACTAGTGCCAAAGGTTGTTATAAAATTTTATTTTCCAAATGTCGAATTTTGTTTTTGATGGTGTATGGTCAAATATATGAAAATGTTGAATTCATTACAATTAATACATTCAATATGTTCAATAAGAAATTCAATAAGAAATTCTGGAACTCGGTTTTATACAGCTCCTCTTTGAGATCAGTTTAAAGATTTATTTATGGAAATTTAATATTAATCTTTACTAATTATTAGATGGCAATTGAATATTTAGTAATTACTTTATGTTTTCAATTAGTTAATATCCAAGGCAAATATTATTGTACGGATTTTTTATTTAAAAAAAATAATGAAAAAATAAATAAATACTAACTCTTTCAAAAGGCATGTATGTTTATACAACTCCTATGATAATGGACCATAATATTACAATGAAATGCAATTTTAAAAAATCAGAAACAATTGACAATTTCACAACAAACAATTATCATGTTTTTAATTGACACGATCATTCTATAATGAGATCAATACGCACCGACATAAAGTTTTTAGCACTCCCAATTTCTGTTAATCTGTCGTCAGTCTTTAATCCATTCAGGGAGAAGGTAAAAATCAAAGAGTTGGACCTAATTTTAGTTTTAATTATCATTAAAACTCCGATTAATTAAACATTAATTGAATGTTTGCAAACTTAACTGTCTTTGTAGTTTTACATCAAAGCTATGCACGTGCGTTTAGATAAAGATCATTAAAATTTAACGTAAAAAAGACGTTATTTTATTAATATTTCGATATCAATCAAATTAATTATTCATTTTACATAAAAAGTACTATTTAAAGACATTGATTTACAACATAATAGTGACGAATAGATCGAACGTAGGGGACGAGTTGACCATATTAGGGACGAGTTGACTCTTTGAGGACGAGTTGACCAAAAGTAGGGGACGAGTTGACCAAAAAGGTGCCGAGTTGACCAGAGGACGAGTTGACTAGGGGACGAGTTGACCGGATTGCCTTGCCACGTATGGCATCAATAGACTGTGCATTGTTTCATGTAGAACTTCAGAAGTAGTGGCAAACAGTACAAGTACTATCAGGTCACCAAGAACGTAAAAATGAAATTCGGTGTACCATGTTTCTGAGACCATATGTATCGTATTATGGATCGTAGAATTGGCAGTTCTAATGGTGTTAAGTCTACGATCCATGTGGTCTCAGAAACATGCTGGAAATTTAAATACCATAGTTTCAGTACAAACAAATTGTAAATGACATACAGACAACTACTGTCTCCGACAGATGGAAATCCTGTTGTAAGTTCACACGAGTACAGTAAAAACCTGCATGCCTGGACTTCACCAAAGTCCGGTTTTCAGAGGATTCCAGTTTTCAGAGGTTTTATACTTTTATTGATAAATTATGATGGGTTTGAACATTGACTTTGTATTTACTTTTCAACCCATTTGTTTAAGTCATACTTAAATTTCGTTTTGCAATATATGTCTTGAGAAATTTTATTATGCAAATTCATATATATAATTCAGAAAATTAGAAATTAAAACAACACCTTGTCTTAAATATAACTTACTAAATGGCTTTTGAAATGTGGAAATTAATATGGTAGAATTGGTAATTAATGGAATTAATTGTTATTTTTGCATAAAATCAATGCCCCAAAAAAGATAATTTCAACATCAAAATTTTAAGCCAAACAGGAATCTTTAAACAAAATGGTTTCCTTTTTACATTTTATATAAAAAAAACCCAACAAATTAATTTTTTTTGGGAAGTCATACCTATACTTGGCAAGACACAATTATGATGAAAAAGCTATAATTTAATTGCCAATAAGAATTGAACACACACTGACAAGTATTTTCACACCTGCATTGATAGAAAGCACGTGACCATTAACATGTCACCTGTTTGGAGTACATTTGGATATCTTAGTTCACATCAAAATACAAAAAAAAGTTGATACTTAAGTTTCTGTCCAGTTTTTAGAGGATTTTTTATGCATGTTTAGCATTAGTAGCCATAGAAAATTGTCCGGTTTTCCGAAGTCCGAGGTTCCAGTATTAAGAGGATGTTTTTCAATGATCTGATAAGAAGAAAATACAGAACTTTTAAAATTGTCCGGTTTTCAGAGGATTCCTGTTTTCAGAGTTTTTACTGTATTAAAAAATAAAATCAGTGAAATAAAGATGAATTATACGTCTAAACTGATAAAAAATAAGTATAAAGACAACTCAAAACGAAGGTTTTAATCAAGAAAATAACACAACTCATAAAAATTTTGAAATGTTCATAAATTTTATCTCCCTCTTCGCCGTGCACTTGGATCAAAACTGAAATGGAAAAAATAAAGGGCATTCTGTTAAATTGTTTATAATAATACAGAAACTATTTAAGAGTATGTTGTCTTCTGACTTTGACCTAGTGACCTCAAAATCAATAGAGGTCATCTACTAGTCATAACCAACCTGAATACCAAATATGAAGACTCTTGACAAAAGCATTCTTAAGCAACTGAGCAGACAAGTTTTTTGAAGTTAAGGCACCCGTGACCTTGACCTTAGAACCAGTGACCTCAAAATCAACATGGGTGACCAAATGGGTCATTTACTAGTCATGACTAATCTCCATACCAAATATGAAGACTGTGGGTCAAAGTGTTTTTAAATGAAGAAAGTTTGATAAAAAGAAATAATTTTTGCGCAATTATTTGCAAATAATTTCAATTCACAAAAATCGTAAATATTTCCACATTTTAAATTAACCACTTATACAGTATATAGTTTTATAACAGAACCACAAGGTGATAGTAGATACCTAATTATTTTAGATGCCTACTATTTTAGTTTTGTGTGTTGTAGTTTCTGAAAAGAAGACTACTAATTTTTTCATTTTTAAGTCTAAACTCTTGTGAACCACTTACAAATCAGACCTAAGAATAAGTAGCCACAATGAGCAACAACCCATTGTCATCTAAAAAAAACTCACCTATGAGCAAAGAGTGCTCAAGTGAGCTGAACATATATCCTACAAGCATTCATTGATTTTCAATTAAAATATACTTTTAAACAAATATGTGACAGGTACTTACTCAAACAAATCCTGGGCCCTTTTCTCTTCAGCATTGTGTTCTGTTTCTGTCTGAAATAAAAATTTTGGTCAGTCATGTGTGGCATCCAAAACATATGAATTTTATGGGGGAAAGATTGAATGTCTTAAAGAGAAAAGTATCAGTTACTCATAGATTTTTAAATTAAGGTTTAATTTTTCACAGTTATTAGCAAGTCTTTTTTATGAGTTTAAAACAACAATAATGAAATTTGATTATACTCCAGAACTTACAATGAAACTGTTCATCCCTAATTACTACAAAAGCAAGAGTATAATCTAGATGTAAATGACCCAAAGCTAAAGAAATGAGTCCCGAGTCAAAACTAGTCCAAAACCTTGGAAGCATTCCAATAAAGAAGGGTGATATAAAGTAACAATGTTTAGTGTAACCTTAAAAGATAAAATACATCACTCCTTATTTATCTGTTAATTTCATCATCTAACATGCATTGCCATGAGTCAAACAAGCAAATCAACAGACTGTAGACTCAATGCTTCCATTCTGTGTTTATGAGTCATTTATAAGTTAAACTAGAAATGTGTCCATAGGACACGGATGCCGCCACACACCACTGTTTTGTCAATCTTATGACTCTAGGTCAAATATTTTTTTGACTACATGTGAAACTAAAAATCAACCAAGGGCCATAAATCTGTTAAATTTGGTCGCAGCAAAAATTCCTTCCTTTACTGCAATCTACACATTAAGGTTGTTAATCCCTGGAAGTTTAAGCAAAATCTGACATCCGGTTTAAGAGGAGTTGCGTTCACAAAATTTCTACATAGTATATAGTGAAAAAATCAACAAAGGGCCATAATTCTGTTAAATTTGGTCGCAGCCAAAATTCCTTCCTTTACTGCCATCTACACATTAAGGTTGTTCATCCCTGTAAGTTTAAGCAAAATCTGCCATCCGGTTTAAGAGAAGTTGCGTTTACAAGATTTCGGGACGGACGGACGTACCAACTTTTGATGTTTATGAGGCAAATTAGCTCATAAACACCACCTGGACCAACGTCCATAAGCAAAATAAGCTCATAGAAACAAAAAAATAGCTCTTAATTTGAATTTTATGAGTTTTTGTTCTTTATTTAACTACGGAATGAAGCTCATAATAATCAAATGTTTGCTCGGACAGACGGACGGACACCCGGCCGAATTGGAATAAGGGGCCATTTCTATTGTTATTTTCTATTGTTTAACAGAGGGCCAATGGCCCCTTACTCTATTGTTACGGAATGAACTCTATTGTTCTCTTTTGTTCTGTTTACAGTTAGATGGCCCTCTAACCCTATTCGGTAGTGCGGACGGACGGACGGACAAGTGCAACGCTATATGCTCCCACATTGTGGAGGCATAAGAAGTAAAATATTTCATAATGTCAGTGACCATAACTATGCTGGATAAATGATCTTCCAATAAATACCTGTAAAGATTCCCTGAACCAATCATCTAACTCTTTTGATCTTTTAGCAACATGCACCTCAAGATCACTACCTCCAATAATATTAGGTAACCCTTGAGAGCCAGCATGGTCTGTCTACAAACAAAAAAAGGAAAAGAAAATCAAGTACAAAATGTGACACATGAATATTGTAAAGGGTTTATAATTAATAGGTTGCTTGCATTGACACTATATATCTTCATCTATAGTGATGGAAGAAAACGTCCAATCCCCTTTTGAGTATAATTTCAGACATAAGAAGCTACCCAGGTAGAACCACTGATGTTCTCTTTACTAGCTGAATAGCTTCTTCACATGAAAGAATCCAAAGTCCCTTGTGGAATTGGAATCTACAACAAGAAGGGGCAAGTGAATTGAAGTTTACAACTCTTAACAACTTAACCACAATTGTCCTTTGGAGGATTTAATCTGCATTAAAAGCATTTACTGGGCTTGTGCTCCTGTAGTCCATCAGTACAAAATGTGATATTTGTACTATTATATACTTAGTATTTACTTTACTGGTAAAGTATATGATAAACATAAACAAGAGTTGTCAGTAGGACAGCTTTCTCACCTGTTCTCAGTGCTTGATAACAAGAGCCTGGAAAATGTAGAATTTTCTAAGTTCAAAAAGGACTGTCAAATCCATGTTATAGCGATGGGCATAGAAAAATCCTGGATAGATAAAAGTCAAACAAACATGTATATGCATTCATACCTTTTTAAATTTCTTAAAGTTGCGGACAATTTTCCCCTTCCATCTTGTAAACCCTTCAGGACAGTCGCCGGCACCATTCTCTTTTGGTGCCGGTTTCCGGGAAATCAGACTCACTGTTTCTACATGTACACATCCTACAGGCAAATCCTCATCTCTTTCATATCCCTCATGTCTCTGAACCTGATCCTGGATAATAAACAGACACTAATCAGTGTTTATCTCTTAATACGTTTTATGTTGCACCAACACAGTAAGTCATTTGGCGACTTTCCAGCTTTAATGATGGAGGAGGACCTCAAGGGTCCCTAAGAATATTATTTCAGGCACGAACCAGGACCAAGTAGAACCACCCACGTTCCATACAGCTAGATGGGTGGCATCCTCACATGAAAGAATCCACAGTCCAAAGTCCCTGGTGGGACTTGAACCCACAGTAGTGAGGGGAAAGTGGTTAGAAGTCAATAAACTTAACAACTCTGCCATGGACGCCCATCAATATCAATAAATACAAATCGAGGTCTTTGTGTGAAAGGGTTGTAACTTGTATAAAAAAAATTAGTCATGACCCTTTCACATCATGCTGTTGAAATGTAGATTGGTGAAATTTCCTACAATATATCATGGGCCACACTTTATTTTTGTAACTTCTTTTTTATATTCTATTTAAAAATTAACTATTAAATATTTACATAGGTATTTCAGTGACGAAGACTTACTCTGATAGGTTGTCGTGTAGTTAGGAAACCATCTGGTACGTCTCTTTGACTCATATCGGACCTTCGGTCATATAATGTAATATCTTCCTCCTCTTTCTTTAAAAAAGAACATTAAAATATAATATTTATATCAAATCTTATACTAATCTATATAAAAATATGT